TCTCTCTGGTTATTTCAGTTTCCGTTTTTAAAAGCGCTATATGTTGAGCCATCTCAGCTAGATTTGGCATGTGACATTTTTAGCGGCAATCATTGGTCGATTTTCTAGCGTTGCCATTCGGGGAGTTGTAATGAGGCTTTTTTTTGTCGCCGTGTAAGAGAAATAGTAACGTAAACAAAACAAAGCAAGCGTTGCCACCGGCGGAAAAGAAATACCGCCAAAATTTGGGAGCCACGTAAGAGAATTATATATATTAGATTTTTTCTTTAAGTATTTTCAATTGTGATAGAAAAATTTGAAATTGATGATTATTTATCCATTGTTATAGAAAAATTTAATTTTACTCTCGATATCATTATTTTTTAAGCTCGCGATTGAGTTGATGTCAATCAAAAGTAACAAAAAAACAGAGTGTGTGAGAGGACTTTCTATCGAACAGAAATCAATCAATTAATTTTAAGTCAAATTAAATCAAATTAATTTCAAGTAATAAGCTAAATGAATATACGTTAAACAAATCGATTTCGAATCTAAAGATATTTTAATATAAGTGGGCTAAGCCACCCCCTGTTCGATGCCGCTCACCAACCCCTTCCTAATAACGGTTGTTTCTTGGCAGAAAACAGTTTTCCTACTAAAGTTAAAATCATCCACTTAAGAACTATGCACTAAAAGGAATTCTGTTTGCTTACATTTGTGCCTCCACTTCCCACGTTCAAATATCCAAAATGCTATAACGTCTAAAAATCTATTAGCATCTATATATATATTTCTCTTACGCGGCGACAAAAAAACCCTCATTACAGCTCCCCGAATAGCAACGCTAGAAAATCGACCAATGATTGCCGCTAAAAATGTCACATGCCTAATCTAGGTGAGGTGGCTCAACGTATAGTGCTTTTAAAAACGGAAACTGAAATAACCTTAAGCTAGGCAGAAGCGAATAGTCTTTGTCGATAGATCTCTATTTTAGTATTTTGTCGAAAGCGCTTTTTTTCACGAATTTATATATTACGAATTTATTTGACGATTTTTGATTTATATCACGAATTTATTTCTTTTATTATTGTTATTAGTTATTCATTGAAAAATGAGTCTCAGTCGTGCTGTTACGCTTTAAGATTTTATACTATAGCACATTTCTAATAGGTTTAATGAATTACATGTCATTTATTTGAATTCAAATTTATTTTAATGACTTAGTATTTACTAAAAAGATTTAATTTTTTTTAAAAAAAATTTTGTTATCTGGATTTGAATGATTGTTTTGAATTCTTAGAATTTTGTGTATATATGCAATGTACCTAAGTTAATAGCGAGCGAAGTGAGCTTGGTTTGCAAAGCAAACCATATAAGATTGCGTAACAAATTTTCAGGGGTTGGCGATCGTTAGCGTGCAGGGGGGGGGCAGCCCACTAGTTATAAATATTTAGATCTATTGGTGAACAGAAGTAATTTTTGTGAGTAATAATTTTTTAAAATAACATTTATATTGATATAACATTATATAACATTAAATTGTTCACACAAATTTGATGAGTTCATTTCTTTTATAACTAAGATATGCGCCTGAAATATTTATTCATCATATTTTTTTCTGTTACGTTTTGATTTTGATTAATAATCCAAACTACAAGTTTAAATCTGTAAGGGGTGTTTCTTCATTAAAATAAACGAAATAATCCTACATTTCCTAATTTCGCAACATTTTATGATAACTTATTTGAATCGGTATCTGAAATTATTTAACCGCTTTGTAATTATTAATCGATAAATAAGTTGTATTTACTTTTATTATAAGCTTCGTCTAAGATTGTGCCCAGTCAATCTATGCAATTATAATTGAATACAAAATTATTAAATAATATTCGACACTATTACTATTCTTTTTGCACTATTTCAAAGCAAACTCTTCAGCTCAAAACGTTTAATAAATTTTTATATTAACCGGAAATTAAATAAGAATTCAAAAAAATAAAATAGCAGATGTAGCTTAATCAAAACGATTAGGTTTAAATTTTATTCCACATGCACATCCAACTAAATCTGTCTGAATAAAAATTTTGTGATCTTTCAATTGAATATACTTTTTATTTGGATGTATCAAATTGTTTATTCGTCAAAAAAAAAATGATTGTAGCAATCGTGGGTGGTTAGTGAACGAAGCGAGCAGTGAGAAGATCATCCTAGTTGAATATAATCCTTTAAAAATACACTTTTTTAACGTTATAGCTGAAGATTTTTCTACATGAAGTAAAGTGACCCTAATGAAATCATTTTGGATAAGGTAAAGTAAATCAGGCAAAGAAGCTTACAAAACTAAACATTAATTCTATATTATTGAAATTCGAGAAAACAAAAACCTTACCTTTTTCTTCAATTACCTAACTTCTATTTCTTCAGTCCATTGTAAAAACATTTCGTATTCTACGAAGAATATGTTTTAACTGACACAGGACAGATGTTTACTAACTGTTTTCCCGAAGACAGAATCATAGCATTCTAAAATTAACATGTTGTGGAGGTAGTTGCCAGACATAAAAAAGTTTCTCTGCGATGACGATTGTTGAATCATTTTACGTCATCTCTCGTAACTCATGTCATTTGGGGTGTAAATCGCTTTCAAATACAATGAAGTTTTGTTTTGCGTTATTTTTTTATAGGGATATATCCATCAGTTCGAGGAAATAACGTGAGAGAAAAATATTTTTTATTCGAATTATTTTTTTTAATTCAAACTTCAAAACAAGATGCAAATAAGTGCCAACAAATTTTGAATTGGGTATAATATAAAAAAACACAACTACTTCCACTTAGTAGGAATAACATTTACCATGACGCAATGCTAAATTCTATGCCACTATCCACATAAATCAATTATTAATAAAAAATTGAATATCAATTACTTTTCTTTATAATGCAATAAAATCTGGCGAGCTGCTATTTAAACGATCAAACACTTCGTTTGTTTATTTGTGGCCTGAAGTTAGGCTCGCAGAAAATGCCGTTCATGGGTTAAATTTAGTAGGAATAACACAACCTGTGAATTAGGCTATAGTATACCCAATTAAGTGAGATAAATAAACGAAATTACTAAATGTTTAATATAGATGATTACTACGTGATTACTTAAAATAACAATGCAATTGGTTTATCAAGCAATGTAATATAAAGATCTATTTTACCATGTTGTTAAATATACATAATGTATCAGGTTTCAAACTGTAGATTTACACGCATCTAATACTCTTTAAATAATCATGCACATTCATTTAATACATTTGTAACAATCCATTGAATTGTAAGGCCATTGAAAGTACAAATACATTAGATTTCATTTGTATAGTTATTCAAATGACGCGTGCATTCGATTTCATTTGTAATCAAATAAAATATACATTAGGTTTCATTTGTTTGGTTATTTAAATGACTTATTAAGTTTCACTTGAATTGTTATTCAAATGACATATACATTAGGTTAATTTGTCTAGCCATTCTAATGATATCTACGTTAGGTTCATGTGTAAGACTATTCAAAAGATACATATTAGGTTCATTTGTAAGGTTATTCAAAAGATACATATTAGGTTCATTTGTAAACTGTTGAAATTTGTCAAAGATAGAATGCCGTGACAAAGAAACAGTTGGGTTACAAACTGTAGACTAATATCAACATGTACAGGATTGATTCTGATGTTATTCAAACGAACATGCAAAGAACATACATTAGATTAAGCCATTCGCATCTGTTGAACCATACATAAGGTTCGTTTAAGTATTGAAATTCATCAAAAATAAAATGGCGGGATCATTTTGAAAAGCCAGCATTTTCGGTATGCATGTCAAAAACAGGTTTCATACTAATATTTTGTTGTGTTCAACAGTTGAATTTCGTCAAAGATAAACTGCTAATAAATGAACTCACTAAATATTTTTAAAAAGTTTTATTGCAATACAAGATTAGTAATAGTTTTACTTGCAACAAAAATTTTAAGAAAAACATTGCAGCTATTTTTGTAATGATTGCAACATAAACATCCATTTTACCTTGCTAAAAATACATAATGAATTACGTTACAAACTGCAGATTAATATCAACATGTATAGGACTGGATCTAATGCTATTCAAACGACCATGTAAAGGACAAACATTAGGTTCATTTTTAAAATCATTAAAAGGACATACGTTCGTAAACTGTTGAATTTCATCAAAAATAGAATGTTGTGAGGAGTAGAAATCCCCTACATTTTCGGGATCCTTGTCTAAGTTAGGTTCCATGCTATTCTTAATTTCTTTGTTCAACTGTTGAATTTCATCAAAAACGGAATGCTTAGACACACGTGAGCTCCGGACGTTTTTAGTATCAGAGTCTGTATCAGGATCGATACTAATCTTAATTTCTTTTAAGCTTGAACTTGAAAAGAAGCTATTTTTCTCTCTTCTACTTCTAAGGGAGGTGATGCCTACAAAATAAATATCATATTATCAAAACGGATGAAGTAATTTTTTAGGTATTTTAGAATAAAATTATACAAATTCATTTTTTTCTTTCTAATCATCTAAGTTTTGAGCCGCGATGGCTCAGGGGATAGAGCGGTCGCCTTCCGACGAGGTGAACCGGGTTCGAATCCCTGCGATGGCTGATCGATACAAATCCGCATCCGGCTCGCACCTACTAAGTGCTGACGTGAAATATCCTCAGTAGACGGATCATGGGTTAGAGTCCCTTTACAGTCAGGCTAACCGTGGGAGATTCTCGTAGTTTTCCTCTCCGTGTAACGCAAATGCGGGCTAGTTCCATCAAAAAATCCTCCACGAAAGCAAATTTCTCCCAATACTTGATCCAGGAATTCCCTTGTCTTCTGGATTGGGTTCAAAATTACACGGCTACACGGAACATCAGAAGTCGTAAACGACAAAAGTTGGGTCGGCTGTTCAACGACGGTTATAAAAAAAAATCATTCAAAGTTAGAAAATATGCTAATTACTGCAGCCGTTCAGTTTCAGAGATATCGGTTCAACCTTAATCTGTAACGTCTTGCAATTTTGCTACAAGTTTAAACTAAACTGTGTTAAATTAAACCATGTTTTCGCTAAAGTTGATAGGAATGTTAAACTGTAACGTCTTGTACAAGTACAAGTTTTGCTTAACTGCATTAAATTAAACCATGTTTTCACTCAAGTTGATATTAAGCGTTACGTGGCCAAGTTAAAGCTCTTTTGTTTCCCCGATGTTAAGGTTTGATTCTGTATCGTATTAAGGCAAATTTGTAAGTATTGTGGTTCATCGATTGTTTTAATTTCTAACACGTAGTTTCTAACATTAAAAGATTTAAATACATAAGTTTAAAAACAAATAAGTTTTAAAAATGTAAAGTCTAGTTATATTTGTATTAATTGTGGTTCAACGATAGTTATGGATAAGATGTAAATTTTGAGATCAAAATTTGAACGCAAAAATGTCTGAGGAATTCGCAAATGCTTCATAATTCTATTAAATTACTTTTGCTGTTAACGCGAAGAGAAAAATACTCTATTTTCATTTTCTTGCATAACCTGACTAAAAATTTACTGGATGAAATTGAACTGAACCTATAACATTGAAGAATCTGAATATGTACCATAACGCAAAGCATAAAAGCATTTACCCATTAGCCAATAAGAAGTCGGTGTTTGTGGAGGTTATGGCTCCACAAGTTCATGGTCCCGCAATGGACTGATCGTTAAGACACGGTTCCCAGCAGATCACCGAAGTCAAGCATCACTGGCTGCTGTCAGTGTGCGGGTGGGGGACCACTTGGATCAGTCTGCGTAGGGACCGAGGGTGTGCGGTATTGGTCCTCGTTAAACTGTTCTACCGTAAAGTGCTCGACTTCGCGTGCAGGTTGTCGGGCTACCGAAGCGGGGCCGCCATCCCCTTTGCAGAGGATCAAAATTGTGATGGCATGTCTTCGGATCATCCTCAGGGATGTTTCCCAGACCGTCGCCAATAGCCCATTGTGCAGCTCTAGTGCGAAGTAAATGAACAACAACAACCACAAGTTCATGACCAGTGGCATGATTAGGCTTTAAGCTCCACACGGGTTTGAAATCCGTCAAGTTCTCTACAATGCGTCAGTGCCTTAATCACTGAGCTATTGTAGCGCTGAACGAAATCAGGAACATACTGAATCGAAAATTTTAGGTATTTCAAATTATTAAATTGGATTACTTGACTAAGTATCTGTTCGGATATAAGATAGGTAAGTGTCATTTAATGAATTAAAATTTTAATCTATGACAGTAATTTATGAAAGATCTTAAAAATAGCATCATTAAAATATCAAACCTGTTTGAGTAGTAGATGCAGAAGTTCCGTTTGGTGAATCAGGATTAAAATCTATGAGTTGGTGATCGTTAAATGCTGGAACATAAAGTGAATGCGATGATGTGAATTTCAAAGATTTCTGGGAAGAACTCTTCGGTTCTGTGAGAGGTATGGAAACTGTTGATTCATATACTTTTGATGATTGGTGATTTGGAATTATTATGTGATTTTCTGATTTTAACTCGGCTGTAGCTGGCGTCAAAGTTACTTGGATTGGTTGTTTTTCTAAAGAATTTCTTGAAATCTTTTCAGAACTAGGTGGCTTATCACTTTCTTCTATTCTACTTTCTGAAGTACTTATTTTTCTGGCATCGGATTGCGAATTTCTCGAAGATACTGATTTCAGCTCTGGCGGAAACAATCCATTCTCTTGGTTAAAGTCATTATTTACATTATGATTTGAAACGACAAGCTTTCGTGTTGATCCTTTTTTCCTCAATTTTGCTTTTCTTCCGCTTATTTTTGCTTTACGTTCTAAACTTTTCGGTATTTTTTTACCCATATTGCTGCCTTTCTTTTGATCAATATAAGATAACCTTTCGTCGCCGTTTGCACTTAGATAGTTATCAGAATTACTACTCGCTTCATCAGAATCAATCACAGAATATTCAAAGGCTCCAGACTTCAAAATCTCTTTTCTGCCATTTGTATTTTTACAGTGTAGCAAATCTTGAACAAATGGCTCCCCACTTCGGTTGATGAAGAAAAAGTTCTTTCTAGCTGGTGAGCGTATTTCGAAGACATTCTTCTTTAGTTCTTTTCTAAGATGTGGTGCGGCTTCTGGGGTATGAAGAAGTTGAGTTTCAGGTGATGTTTCTTCCTTCTTGCTTTCGAATGTTCGGTTGTGCATCAATTGATGGGAAGAACCTTTATTCAAAGAGCTTTTCTTTGATAGGCTTTTGCTGCTGCTTTCATCGATATCAGTTTCCCTTTTCTTATTTTTCTTCTTTATAACTATACTCTATTGAAGAAAGAATTTCAAAAATACAAGCTTGGTACAATTGCATTTGAAATGCACGCACATGCATAAATAAATACTTTATGATCTAGAAAAAATATGAAGGTAGTACTCCAACTTTCTGTTTCTTAGAATAGTTGGCTAATTTATAAGAAAATAAATGATAGCTTTTAATACTAATGTAAAAAATAAATAAGCTTGAATTATTATAAATACTTTAAAATATAAAATACGCTGTGCCCAAATTAAGGCCTACAATTAAACCTGTTTTGATATTTATCCTTCCTCCACTGCAATTTTCCAGAATTCGATGGTGGTTTCCATTTTTCTTTGCTTAAATATTAATTTTTGACTCCCAATGTGCATACTTTATTGTTTCCATTTTTGGAGAATTATAAAAGTACATATTAAGGGTGGTCATTACGGGACATCCTGTAATATAACTCTCATCCGCTGTATAAGCATATGCGAAAGTGCGTATTCATTTATTGAAGTCGTTAATTGTTGAAGAGTAGTAAAAGCATATGTACTCAGTCAAAGAACTTTCTACAAATTTTAAAAAAATTTTATAGTACCTACATGCTAAATTAATATGTAGTACTATAACTTAATATCCAGTTGCAGCCGCTTAGTTTTTAGTCAATAATTTAATTTGTCTAAGTTTTAAAAATCTTGCTTTTAGGATGACAGAAACACTACTGTTATAAACGTCTGTTGATTCTTTCATTAAATCAAGAATAATAGTAAAAAATATACTAAACTTTAATTATTGTGTGTTTAACAATCAGAACTTGCATTTTAAAAGTCTTTTCTATTTTAAACCCATAGTATTTCCGAAAAAGGGTTTAAAGGGTAAAGCCGCTCTGGAATGTTTCTTTTAATTTCTATTTATTTAGTATTATTTTGTTAAAAGGTATATTAACACCCTAAAATGTAAAAACACAAAAGGTTTATAAGTAAAAAAATGTCTACATATCTGAATTTTAAATTTTCACGCAGCTCCTTGCAGTTCCCAGCTTGCACGTCTAGAAAATCGTTTTTCTCGATAGGAAATTTTTTTAAGCCATTGCTAAAGATTAGAATAAAAATTCTCACCCGCGATTTTTCTTTTATCAGAGATCTTTTCTTTCTCAAGCGTATGATATAAACAATAAGGCCGATTACAACGATCCTGAAAAGAGAAAAAAAATTAAAGTTAATTTTGCAAATTCTATACATACTGGGAATCATAATACAAAGTACCAGTGAATAAGGAAAAAAACATTATAGCAGGCAAATTACCAGTTAATAGCAAGCAAAATCAAAATCCTATCATAGCAGGCAAATTAACAGTTGATAGCAATTAAAGAATCATAATAACATACAAATTAACAGTTGATAGCAAGAAAAAAAAAGCATAACACTGTACAAATGAACAAACCATATGCAAATAAAGCATATTTCCATAAAGTTAAACTTGAACTATTGTTATTGCGTTATTGCTAGAGGTAATCAATGTTGTCCAAATAACTAGGTCAATTTGAAAATAGCAGCAATTTTGCATGATATTATTATTTAAGGTACTTTAATGTATTTAAGTGTAAAATCATTGAAAAGAGAGATGTCTATTGAGAATTCCATACCATGATAGAGCTAGAACAAGTAGAAGCAGGATTGCAGCCAAGATCCAACCTTTATTATTAGAACCATCTGGATCTGGAAGAAAAAAAAGTTGGAATAAAATACTTGTAACTGGTTTGATAACGAGGGTAAGTACCATAGCAACCAACACAGAAGGTGATTTCGGTGACGAGGAATAAGTCCTAAAGCAAACAGAAAGAAGGAGTTTCAGTCCACCCGATCTTCAGTTTTTACTTCAGCTTTTTAGGCCAACCTGAACAGAACTTCAAATATGCCTTCCCACCATTTCATTTTATTTTATAACCGTTGTTGAACAGCTGACCCAATTTTTGGGTTTACGACTACTAATGTGCAACTCCGTAGCCTTGTAATTTTGAATCAATTCAGAAGACAAGGAAACTCCTGGATCAAGTATTGGGAGAAATTTACCTTCGTGGAAGACGCCTTGAGGGAACTAACCAACATTTGCGTTACGTGAAGAGAAAAACCCAGAAAAATCTCCATGGTTAGCCTGACGGCAAGGGGACTCTAACCCATGATCCATCTACCACTGAGGATATTTTACGTCAGCACCGTCATCGGTGCAAGGCGACTGAGGAATTCGCATCGACTAGTCATCGCTGGGATTCGAACCCGGTTGACCTCAATGGAAGGCGAACGCTCTATCCTCTGAGCTATCACGGCTCACCTACCTACCTACAATTTGTCACAAAAATAAATAGCTATTTGAAAAGAAAAAAAAGCAATTCAAGAAAAATAGAAATATGCATGCTACATTCCGATAAGGAAGGTAGATTGTTTATTGTCACTAAGCTTCAGAATTAAAAATTTTGACTATAGATGGAACTAATGAATGAGAAACTATAAAATAATGTTTACTGATCCATTTCAGTTCATTCTCCCTTCCAAACAAAACGTTTGCAGAGGTACCTATTAATTTTGTTCTCGTATAGCATCATTTTGATAGAAATGATGCGTTATTTTGAAAATGTTGTTTTATAATTTTTCAGTCAACAGCGCCATCTGTTGACAAATTTGTAACTAATTTTGAAATTCAGAAGTAATAACCACTGGTTTCTTGAGCAGAACTCGGCGTTTCTATATTCTTTCCTTTTTTTTAATGTGATTTTTCTAAATCAACTTACCGGACACTTTTGACACGCTGTTATTTAAAACAAAATAAACACAATTAAATTTTTTCCAGAAAAAATGGTTTTTACAGAAGTTTTCACAATTTAAATGGGAACAAAGAATCAGAATTTTTTATCCACTTATTTCTATTGTAAAAAATACTGCATGGATATCTATAGCGTCATTTCTGAAAACTTCCGCTTTATTTCAAAGTGTGCTGCCAGTTTTGGCACCTAAAATTTTCTATTTCGAAGAAGTTCCATTTTCATAAATTTTTTTTTTTTAAATAGAGTGCTCACAAGACACTAATACAGTCTTAACTTTAGTTAGTTCAAACTTTTGCGTAGAAAGTAGATTTTTAGCCAATAAAGAAAGAATTCGATCTCGAAACAGTTGAAATTTATCTACAATGAAGCAAATGAGACTTACGAATGCACAAGTCCAATGAATTAGCCCCCTCAGCTAAAGTCTTCTTTCCTTCAGGGCAGGGCCAACATGAGTCTGCTGCCTCTTTGTCCATGTAGAAATCTTTTGGGCACAAAAAACATTCTGTTTCCTGACCGCTTGTGTAACTACCTGGGAAACACGGATCTGGAAAAAAAACCATTAGAAAATCTAATGTGCAAAAGTTAAACGTTTCTCATAGTACTTATAGATTAGCGTGTTAATTTTTTTCTTTTCTTTCTCGTTTGATGCACGAAAAGAAATTAGCTTAACACTAGAAAATTAGACTTCCTCTGACAAACGTTGCTTTTAGATTAAACTTATATTAGAACTTTTATAAATATTAAACTAATTAACCTTACGCCTAAAATAGAGTTAAGATGGCACTGTAGTCAGGCGGAGGCTATACCAAGGTGAAAACCATTAAAAGAACATTCTCTTTCATCTACATAAGTAATATAAAATTTAAAGAGTAGGAAAAGTGAGTTCACATAAGCCTAGAGTAACTGATGAAATTTCAAATACTGAAAAAAAAATCTAAGTATCAAAAGGCGAGCACATTATAACAGGAATACGCAGTGGAGAAGTAATTCTGCAATAATTTGTTTGCATTTTAATATTTTTAAAAAAATTTTTAAGCATTTAAAACTTCATGGTTTACTTTAAGTTTACCTAAACTAACTTCTCTCTAAACTTTAAATAAAAAAAGGAATGGTGAAACTGAATTTGCCATTTTTTCGTCGTATTCTTTAAAATAGTGAGCTATCATTGTTAAGGATCGCATTCCATCCTCTGCGGCGGCTGGAAGCTTACTCAACGTAAAATTGGTTAGTGCTAACTAGTCAGAAATGTAAAGGCGGCCAATATGCTACGTCTAAACTATAATAACTACGTTACATACTAAACTATACTGACCACGTTAACACCATCATGCCGTTGGTCTTAAAATTGGGGATCCTAAATCTCAATAACCCTTGACTGCCCTTGTCTTTCCGACTTACAAGACATATGATGCGCATTCAAAATATTCTTTTGATGGTATTTATCCAACATCCAACAGGTCCATGGAATATTAGCGAATAGCAGTTTAAAGCTGATTAAACAGTTAACAAACGGTGTCAAGCTGGCACCGGCTAAATGCCGCTATCGAGCACACATGTCATCGCGTGGATGCCGGCTAAATACGGCGTTCTGATGTAACGAAAGGGTTAACTGCTTAGAGTTAACCGATTTTCATAAATAAAATGGCATATTCCATTATTAAATTTCCAATCTGTGTTCTTTCACAATAAAATACTAATGCAGCACTTACAACATCTGTCCTGATCGATGCGATGTCCTGGCTGGCACACACCATTTACAGCTTCAACAGATGCTAAAAGAATAACAATATACAAGAATCTAAATACACAGACGCAGTTTAAATATTTCTATATAGAGTAAAGTGGGATAAGATCAGGTAGCTAAGATTCGAAGACCTGTTGAAGCTGTTCGACCTAGAAACTGTCAGATTTAATCAAGATATTCATAGTGTACAGTGCGTAAATTAAAAAACGGACCATCTTAAATAACTTTCGATCAAATGATCGGATCTTTCACGTTCTATGACTCAATCTTAACAGTTAGAGTGACTGACGACCAAATGTGTAAATCAATTAACACAGACGATATTTTAAATTACGAAATCGGAAACAAAAAAGTACTTTCTCTTAATAAACATGCCTTTTTTTCGACGAATTCGGATTTCTAACCCCCAAGTGGATAGTCACAATTTGGGAAACATGACTCCAATAGTTTTGTTAGGTGAGCGATTCCGAATCAGTCAAAAAAAGGTATGTTTATTCAGAGAAAGTACGTGTTTGTGTCCGATTTCTTAACTTAAAATATCGTCTGCACTAATTAATTATCGTGTTTGGAGTCATCCCCTCGAACCATTGAGATTGAGTTCTAGAGCGTGAAAATTCGATAACTAAAGGTGCTTGATTCGCAGTTAAAGTGCTGAAGTCTCCCCAATCCGATAAGACAAATGCTAATCATGTAAATCAATCTTTGATTTCGATTATTCGGATCAACTATGATTGTATGCAATTTTTTTGACTTATTCATTTCGTGATTGTGATGGTTATTTTTTTTAAACCAACATTAATTATTCCAATTTTGAGGATTTTGTAGAGATGCCATTAACTTGATCTTTCTGTTACTCAGATAAATAAATTTATTGACAATACGGAACCATTTTTTTGCAGCCATGATATCTTTGAAAAGATAAATTAATTATGCACTAATTAGCGATAGTATAAGTCATAATTCATATTAGTATACAAAAGCGTTGCGATGGTAACTACATTTAATTTATACTTTATCTTTGTCAGTTTTTTTTTAAATTTTAAATACATAAATTTTCCTTTTTATTTTAAAACATGCATATTTTAAATATATGCAACATAAAACATTCATATTTAAAATAAAGTAATACCGTTTATTTTTCGACCTCAATATTATCCAACATAAGACCGTTGCACTAAATAAAGAGATTTAGTCATTTACATACCATCCCGCACGACTACGTACATGCTTTCTACAGTTTGTCTTTGTAAAGAACTCCCCTAGCCATTCGTCTGGAGTAGTGGCGGTGACTATGGTTATGAGGTTTAACTATTTCAAGTAGGGGTGTTGGGAGGACCATTATTTAAGTCAGGTTTTGGATCGGGTCGGCGAGAGAAGCTCTCCCCTTTTAAATGAGCTATTTATTGCAGCAGACGGCCTCAGACTTCGTGGTGAGGGGAGTTCTTTCCGTAGACAAATTATATGTCTCTCTCCGTCATAAGCAGTTAGTTCTCATCAAACGTATGTAAACATGCGGGATAGCACGTGAAAGTACTAAAAATGCTCTGAAATAATTAATAGTGCACTAGTAAGCTATACTTAAAAATTAGTATCTATAAAAAAATTACCTGGTTGGAAACTGAGTTCGCTTGCTTGGCGTTTTTTTATTACTCTTTTCGATTCATAATCAGATGGCGTGTAACATTTAAATCCCTGATTAGAATCAACACTATTTGGTAAAGAAACTGCTTTCGGCTTGGTGTACGCCCTTTTGTTGCGCCTAAAAAAATTTAGACTTAAATTGTCTCTTCGAACATTCAGCTTTCGTTTCAGGGAACTCTTTTTCGATGGGAATAAACAGATAATTTTCATATTTTTACTGTCTGAATTTGGAATTTTCAACTCGATTTGCAGAGAGTGGCAAATGACAAAAGAAATCCACACAGTTAATATCATGTGACCTATCGGATAGAAGCATAACACCATTTTGAAGTTCTAGAAATGAGAAAAGAATCTTGTATGAAATGTGATGCGAATAAATTGGATGAAATGTAAAAGTTTGACTTGATGTCGTGACTCTCCATTTCGATTTTAAATTCTTTTACTTAAACCTTTAAGCGTTAGATCCGAACTTATTCGCGATCGCAACGCTTGAATACGCCATCTGGGGAGAACATCGGTTCCATGTCTTGACCCTTCCCTCTCCTCCTTTTCTTAGTTGTATAGGAATGTATCACGGTATTTTCCTCGAAATATTTTTTTTTTAAATTTCCACGATGCTTTCTTTTAGAACTATGTTCTATATAGTTTTCCGTTCCAAATAGTCTCTCAACTGAAAAGTTTTTAATCTATTTAAAAATCAAGAGAGAAACCAACGTGCATCCTTCTCCTATGACTCCCCACACGCTAATGGTGAAAGCATGCGAAGTCCATTAGCGTGTGGAGAGTCATAAGAGAAGGAAGTACGTTAGAGGTAGAGAGTTCTGCTTTACGCCACCTGTAGCCCATTTCAATCACCAATAAGTGCAAGCTTCCCTGCATAAGAAACTGGTTTTCCCCTTGTTATTTAATGGTAATAAGGTGCATAACAGGAAAATTTCCGTACAATTTTACCCAGAGACCCGACGCTTGAAGGGTTAATGTACTCAAAGTAAATAGAATTAAATTACTTAATATTAAAGCATTTAATCACAATCTTCTAAAGAAAACGAATAAAAATTTCCAAAACGTTGATGATTCTTAACTTTTAAATAGTGATCTTAACTTAATGTGGTTCAAGCAAACAATTTTTGAATATGCAAGTTCGAAATATTTTTCTAAACAATTTTAAGTATTGAATCTAACATTAGTGTGGTACATTTATTTAACGATTTATAAACGAATTAGTGGCACTAGAATAAATAAATAAATAGTGCTAAAATTTAAAAATCATTATTTAAAAACTAATCATAATGTGCAAATAAGATTAAATTTAATGTTTACTTTTATTTGCACATCAAGGTTGTTGTGGTAATTTAGATTTATAGTGTGACACTTAAACTTTTAAAATAATATTTAAACTAAGCCGCTTAGTCACTCAACTATTTTTTTTAAGGATTTTGATTTTTTCTTAAATTTAAAAAAAATTTTGTGTCAAAGTTAAACCAATGGTATTAAGATGGCTATTCTATATTGGTTTATCTATTTTATATTGGTTTAAAAAATGTAGATTTATAGTAAGTATCCAAAATTTCTTGGGCTACATTCAGAAATGTACGATACTTTTAATTTTATTAACTTTGAAATGAGTGAGTCTCTCAATCTCAATAAGAACTTATCTCGTGTCAGCCAAACAGTACCATTTGCTAATCTCGTTACGCCCAAAGAACATTTGACTAAAAGGCTATTCAGCTTCGATGTTAAGCAGAAAGATCGGGTTCAACACTTTCTTATCACATTGCAGACAGTTGGTGTGACTTTAGCAGATAAAAACTGTAACAGCGTTAATCAAAATGCATTGAGCCGCGATGGCTCTGGGGATAGAGCGTTCACCTTCTAATGAGGCGAGCCGGGTTAGAATCCCAGTCGATACGAATTCCGCATCCGGCTCGCACCGACCACGGTGCTGACGTAAAATATCCTCAGTGGTAGACGGATCATGGGTTAGAGTTTCCTTGCCGCCAGGCTGGTAGGTTCTCGTGGTCTTCCTCTCCATATAACGCAAATGTGGGGTAGCTCCATCAAAAAGTCCTCCACGAAGACAAATTTCTCCCAATACCTGATCCAGGAGTTCCCTTGTCTTCTGGATTGGGTTCAAAATAACAAGGGTACAGAGTTGAACATTAGTAGTCGTAAACCCATAAAATTTGGGTCGGCTATTCAACGACGGTTATAAAATAAAAATGCATTGAACAAAGTGGAGATGATATAGGTAAATAAACAAATGCTCTACCTTCCAAATTATGTAAATAAAGATAAATATACAATATCGTGAAAAGAAAATATTTTAACTAATTACTATTGACCAAAAATATTTATAAATTGTATATTGATAAATTAAATATTTGTGTAAAAAATGACCAGCTGAATTTTTAAAATTAGAGCGACATTTAAGGCAGTAAAATTTAC